GCTTTTTATTTATTCATTTTTCAAGACAGGTTTTCTCTGCATAGCACTGGAGTCTGTCCTGGAACTTACAGAGATCTGCCTGCCTCTGCCTCTGGAGTGCTAGGATTAAAGACCTGTGCCACTACTGCCCATCATGATGTTGCCTTTTTATTCCAGTGGTGGGGAGTAAACTCAGATCCTCACTTTTGCAAGGTGCCTCACTTATTTTTCTGTTGTAACAAATACTCTGACAAAAGCAGCTTAAGAATGGAAGGGTTGGTCTGGAAAGATGACTCAGTGGTTAAGAGTAATGGCTGCTCTTCTAGAGAACTGGATTTAATTCCCAGCACCCGCCTGGAAGGTCACAACTCTCTAATTCCAGTACTAGGAGATCATACATGTACTGCAGACATACATGCAGGCAAAACATCAATGCACATAAAATAGAAATAAATAAATCTGGGGTTGGAGAGAAGACTCCTAGAGTTAAGGCAGCTCTCCCAGAGGACCCGGGTTCAAAAGTCAGCACCCACATGGCGGCTCACAGCTGTCTGTAACTCCTCTTCTAGGAGATCTGATTCCCTCATACAGACATACTTGCAGGCAAACACCAATGTATATCAAATACATTAATTAATTTTTAAATAAACAAATAAATAATTCAAGCTGGGTGGTGATGGAACTTGCCTTTAATACCAGTACTTGGCAGCAGAGGCAAATAGATCTCTGAGTTCAAGACCAGCCTAGTCTACATAGTGAGTGCTGAGACAGCCAGAGCTATACAGGGAAACCCTGTGTCAGAAATTAATTAATTAGTTAATTTTTAAAAAGGGAGAGAACCAGGTGGTAATGATGCATGCCTTAAATTCCTGCACTTGGGAGGCAGAGACAGGTAGATCTCTGAATCTGAGGCAAACATGGTCTACAATGTAAGTTCCACGACAATCAGAACTACACAGAGGAATCCTGTCTCAAGAAAACAAAAGAACAAACAAACAAACAGCAAAAAAAAAAAAAAAAAAAAAAAAAAAAAAAGCAGGGGTGGGGTGGGACACTGGTGCCACAGAGATGACACAGCAGTTGAAAGCACTTGCTGTTTTTGCAGAGGACCTGAGTTCCATTTCCAGCACCACATGGTGGCTCACAACCATCTATAACTCCAGTTCTAGGGGATCCAATGTCCTCTTCCTTGGGTAATAGGCATGCCCATGATACTCCGACATATATTGTCTTAGTTAGGGTTTCTATTGCTGTGAAGAGACCTTCCTTCCTTCCTTCCTTCCTTCCTTCCTTTTTGTTTGGTTTTGGTTTTATTTTCTTTCAAGACAGGATTTCTCTGTATAGCTTTGGAGCCTGTCCTGGAACTCGCTCTATAGACCAGGCTGGCCTCGAACTCAGAGAGATCCACCTGCCTCTGTCTCTGCCTCTGAGTGCTGGAGTTAAATGCGTGCACCACCAACGCTCGGCAACCACAGCAATTCTTATAAAGGAAAAAACATTTAATTTGGGATGGCTTATATTTTCAGAGGTCAAGTCCACTATCATCATGGTGTGACATGGTGGTGTGCAGACAGACATGCTGGCATGAAGATGAAGGCAACCACGTTGCTGGAGAGGAGTTGAGAGTATTTTATCTTGACTCACAGGCAACAGGAAGTGGACTGTCTCACTGAGTGTAGCTTGAGCAAAGGAGACCTCAAAGCTCACTCCCACAGTGACACACTTCCTCCAACAAGGCCACACCTACTTCAATAAAGCCACACCTCCTAATAATGCCACTCCCTTTGGGGGTCATTTTCTTTCAAACCAACACACACACACACACAGAGAGAGAGAGAGAAAGAGAGAGAGAGGGTCATATAATAAAATAAATCTTTAAGAAAGATAAAGAAATATGGCAGGGAAGTCAAGGTGGCAGACTCTTGAGCCGGCTTGTCACCTTGTGCCTTGTGTTCAGGAAGAAGCCAGTGATGAAGGCTTGCACTCTAGCTTGTCTATTTTATCCAGAAAGAGCAAACAGGCCAAGAACCAAAGCTTCTTCTTCCATGTCCTTATATGGATTTTCAGCAGAGACTTGGCCCAGATGAGTGGAGGGCCTCCCACCTCAAAAGATCTAAGTTAAAGGCAGGCCTTCCCACTCAAAGATCCAGATTAGAAATGGACCTGCCTGCTTCAAATTTAGAAAAAGTCACTCACAGGTGTGTCCCTCATCTTTGGATTTTAGTTAATTCCAGAAGTAGTCAAGTTGACAACCAAAATCAGACATCATACTCTTTAGCCCTTGAACTCACGATCCTCAGATCTCGCTTCCTGTGTTGCCAGACTGCAGGTCTGCACCACCAGGCACAATCTCTGTTGACATTTTAAATTACTTTTGGAGATCAGGGTCATCATCTCCCTCCCTTTTCTTCACTGGGCTTAATTTGTTTTTGGTTTTCCTCATGTTCCCATCTCACCCATCAGAGGCCTTGAAACCTTTTTAATGGGCCAGGGATTCTGGCTGAAGGTGGGTAAAAAAAGGGGTGCACCAAGAGCAGCCTGACCTCCTGCAGGTGACCCCAAGTCAGGGTTTCCACTTCCTGTTCTCAGAGCCCAGGGTCAAAGAATAGAGAAGCACAGTTAGTAGGAGCTGCTGCCCCTGCCGCTGCCATCCCAACTCCAGATGCCCAGGCCCAGGGGTAATTCTGTTAGCAGCTGGCTTCTCTCCCTGGACTGCCTCTCCCTTGCCTGGACTGGGACAACTTCCCTCTAAAAACAGCTCCTCAGAAGGCAGAAGTTAGCAGTGCTAGACACTGCCAAGGTCAGAGGGGTCAGAGTGCATGGCCTTGAAAGAACTGGTTGTCACAACAAACTCAGAACAAACAAAATACCTAAGTGCCTCTTTTGGAATTATTGACTTGAAAGGACCAGGACCGGTTCCTCTGTCTTGCAGGTTTGGGTGGTCCCTAACCCTACCACTAATGATGACTAGGACATACTCAAGCAGTCTGGTTGGCTTCAGGCTAGAGAAGGATGAGTCTGATTGGGGAGGGAGCCCTTCAGCACCTGAGGAGCAGTCAGCAAATCTTTAGCTCCTGCCACCAGCAGTGGGGAACCCTGTTTACTTTCTGGCCTTGGCTCAAGCCTAGAGAGTAAAGAGGAAGTAAAAAAGACCTCAGGAGAAGGAGGCTGGATTGTCAGGAGGCAGGCTGTGTGGAGGGCAGAGAGATGGCAGAAACTAGGAAGAAGGTCCCGGGTAGCTACTCACACTAGGCCAACTTTGCTGTCTGCCTGGTGAATGGTGGAGAACAGGACAGAGGGCCAAAGGTGTCGAGTGACAATTTTGTTGATCTTCCCCACCCCCTTAAGTCACTTTTCAAATTTTAGTGTGTGTGTGTGTGTGTGTGTGTGTGTGTGTGTGTGTGTGTGTGTGTACCTGAGTGTATGGGTGTGCACCATGTGCCTGTAGAGGCCAGAAGACAGCATTAGAGTTCTTGGGATTTGGGTTACAGGTGAGACACATCCATTGTTGGGTACTGGGAACTGAACCTATGACCTATGCAAGAGCAGCAATTGCTCTTAAATACTGATTCCCCACTTAAATCTTTTAAAATTAACTTTTGGAAAATCCAGATTTAGAAGCTTAGCCTTGAAACCACAGACGGTCTAGCCTGGCACTTACTATGTAGACCAGGCTAGCCTCTGACTCCTTGTTGGGATTACAGCTGTCCACCGCCAGAGCTAGCCAGAGGAACTTTCTTGATGGAGACATGAACGTTCTGATAGGAATCTGAAGGACAATGACCATATACCAGTGCACTAAACCCTATTTTGCTCCCAACCCCAACTCCCACCCTGCTTCCTCCCTTCTACCTTTCTTTCCTCCGATGCAGTGGATTTACTTCCCATACTTATACACGGTCAGTTAGTCCAGAGAAATTCCTCTCAGGCCTTTCAGTTGGATTCTAGCTAATTCTTTTCCCAGAACCGCTCATGAGCCCTCCCAGCAGAGCCCGTCTCCCCTTGTCAGGGTCCCTATAGCTATTTCTACTGGTGATCTTGAGTCCAGATGTTACCCTTCTCCCTATCCAATAACCCTCTCACCTCACAGACTTCATCTAAGAAGACCAAAGTGGCCTCTGCAGAAAGTGTGTGGACAGAGGTTTCCCGGGCAAGCAGCTCATGCTGCAGAGAGGAATCCCTGGCTCCATGGCGGAGAACTCTTTAAGGGGGCTCCACAGTCCTCTCTGCCATAGCCCTTCAAACACCAACTTTCCAAGATGGAGGGCAGCTCCAGGAGTAACACAACCAGTGGTGATTTGCCCCTTGCATGTTACAACCCAGGCTTAACCTGAGCAGACTTGCTCTTCAAGCTAGAGGACCCACCCCAAGACAGGCAGTGCCCCTGAGCATTTTTCTGTCAGGCCAGCTGGGGACAGTAGCATCTGTTGGTCTCCTTTCTGGCCCTGCATCCAGCCCCCAGAGGCACCAGACTCTGAGACTAGGGAGAGGAAGTCTACTTCACATCCTGAGGTTTATGGGGGTAATTGGCACTAATAACAACCATTAGGCTTTCTCCCACTTCAAAGCTCAAGGCTCATGAGCGGTTCTGGGAAAAGTGGAACCTAGGCTCACCCTCCCGCCTGGGCTCTGTTGGGCAGCTGCTGCAGAAAGACATGGGAAGGGGTCTGGGTGAGCAGGAATGTGCCTTTTGGAGCATGGATGTCTGGAAGAACAGGACAATCTTAAGACAAAGCTGGTCTTGGATGTAGAAGTAGGAACAAACAGGTTCACAGCCGGGGCACCCCAAAATGTCCAGGGACAGAGCCATGTGACTGTATACATAGAAACACTCCTCCCCTTCTCTCACATGGACACACACAACATGTACACATCCAGACACAGGCACACACACACGTATGGCATGTGTACACACACACAGTATAACTTGAACAGCCAGGTCACTTGATGGCACTCTGGCCAGCGGCCCTGTATAGTTTACCTTGGATGGCAGCCAGGTCCCTCCCCTTGCCCCACCTCTCCCCCAATTGGTTGCATAATAAATTCCCTCCCTTTGCCCCTTCTCTGTGCAGTCTGCCTCCAACCTCAGCACTGGTCTCTGCGGAGCCTCTGCCCATTCCTGGCAAGTCCTGAAGGACCAGAGTGTCAGCAAGCAGCATGGGTAAGGAAAGGGGTTTTCTAAAACCGTGGATAGTTCACCCCTAGTTTAGAGGTCCAGGGAAACACTCAAAACTAGAGAGGGCAGTGAAGAGAGAACTGCACTCTGGTCCAGACCCTGCAGGCATGTGCGTATGCAGCTCAAACTCATGCATTCATGCACGATATTTCCCAGCCTAGCTTAAGTTCTGAGCAAGGAACAGAGAGGGACTGCCAGAAATGGTAGTCTGGGAATCCTACCCAGCCTAGTCTGGGACAAGGACTGGAGACAGAGGTAGGGGGCATGGGATAGGGGAAGGGGCAGCAGACAGGGACGGGGCAGGGATAGAAGACAGGTAGGGGCAGGGGCAGGGGCAGGGGAATGTCTTCCTGAACTGAGAAAATCCAATAGGAGTGGGGATTCTGGGGAACAGCCCCTGTATCTCCAGCTGTCACCTGAGCAAACAGACAAGGGTCAGCCTCTTGTTTTGGAGGCACAGAGCAGCCTTCACAGCCCATATCACCAGTCAGTTGGGGAAGTCAGGGATGGCAACACTAGCTACTGGGGACCTGTTTCAGCGCCCTCCCAAGTCCCCTAGCTCTCACCCTTTTGCCTGTGAGCTCCTGGTATCAGGCTGAGAGGTCCAGTTTGGGAAGGAATGTTGAGATCCTGCTCCTCATGCAGCTGGCTCTCCCCTGGGTTAGTAGAAAGTTCAGTGGTCAGCCTGGCATAGAAATCCATTTGAACTTTCCCTGGGTTCCCCAAACTCAGAATGCCAGAGACCTTGCTTGAGATGCTTAATACTGGAGGGTGCCCTATAAAGGAAGACGTTGGTTCAGGCAACATAGCAGCCTGAATCAAAACCTGGGATAGCAGGACAAGCCTCCTCCACTTCTTTCCTCTTTTTAAAGATGTTTTTATTTTATGAGAGTTTGCATATATATATATATATATATATATATATATATATATATATATATCACATGCTTGTCTCGTGCCTGTGGAGACCAGGTGTGGACAGTTGTGAGTGCCTTGTGGGTGGTTAAGAGCCTTACCCAGGTCCTCTGCAAGAATTGCTCTTAACTAATGAGCCAACACTCCAACCCCCAAATGAATCTTTTTTTTTTTTTTTTTTGCTTTTATTTTGTTGTTGTTTTGTTGGGGTTTTTGTTTGCCTGGGTTTTTTGCTTGTTTGTTTGTTTGTTTGGTTGGTTGGTTTTGGTATTTTGAGATAAGTCTCATGTGTAGCCCTTGTCTGGTCTGGTTCTCATTATGTAGAGCCCAGTCCTTGTGGACTCCATGCCAGGATTTCTTTCCATCTGCATCAGCCTCTTCCCTGTTCAACTATCCCAAGGTCTGGGCCACACTCTCCAGTAGGAATCCTGGTGGCTCTCTTGTGTGTGAGTGCGGTGACTTTTCTTGTCACTCTATAGGGTCAGAAGGGACCTCTCCCTACAGCCGTGGTGGGTAGGAAAGTAGAGAGTGGCCCAGGGACACACATCTGGTTATCAGTCTTGACCACACACAAACACTTCTCCCCTCATCTGGATTGGTTGCATAATCCTGGGTGTGGCCAGCAGCAGCCTGGCTCAGGACCCAACAACAGTGCGTGCAGGAAGTCCCCAGCCCCTGCCCTGGGTAAATTTGGTGGCCTTTGCTGCCTGCCCCATTCCCTGAGAGCCCCTCCTCGAGGACAGCCATCAGGAAGACTGCCCACCTGGTTTAGGTCTCACAAATGCCCCTTGGGGATTTTGTGTGTCTTTTTGTTTTGTTTTGTCATATTGAGGATTGAACCCAAGGCCTCCCGATGTTAGTCAAGTGCTCAACCACTGAGCTGCCTCCCTCAGTTGTTTGTTGTTGGATTTTTTGTTTTCCTTTAAGATTTATTTTGGTTTTAATTATCGTGTATGTCTGAGTGTGGGTATGTGCTGTTAAGTAAAGTTGCCCAAGAGGTCGTAGGCATCTGATCTCCCTAGTGCTGAATGTTCAGGGGGTTGTGAGTGGCCTGGTGGGAACTGAACTGTTCAGTCATTTCTCCAGCTTCTCTAACTCAGTTTTGTTTGTTGTTATTTTGAGATAGGGTCTCTGTAAGTAGCCCTGGCTGTCCTAAAACTGTGTAGACTAGTCTAACCTTTAACTTCAAGAGATTCACCTGCCTCTCCCTCTGCCTCCCAAATGCTGGGATTAAAGGAGTGTGCGCCAACTCAGGTTTTGCTATGTAGCAAGGCTAGTCTTGAACTTGTGCCCCTCCTGCTTTTGCCCCATAGATATGGTTACAATGCCCAGCCCACTGTCGTACTCTCATTATCTGCTTTTCACAGATGAAGTGGAAACTGAGATAATTTGCCCACGTTCCTACGACTAGCCATGTAGGCTGAGGGTGGAATCGAAGTCAGTGTCATAACTACTAAGCACATAGCCTCTGCCCCATCTCCTCCAAGCTCTGCCAGAGTCTGTCCACTTCCAGACCACATGGCTCCACCCTTCTACCACACCCATCAGAGTTAGAGGATCAGGGAGGATAGGCCAAAGTGATGGGACTGAAGGAGGGTCCAGAGACAGTGAGTCTGCCCTTGCCTGCTGGGGTGTGTCACAGGCGGTAGAGAAGGAGAATTCTTGATCCAGGCTCCAGTTAACATGCTCCCGTTGTTTCCACAGCTACAAAATGCGGAAAGTGTGGCCCGGGCTACCCTACCCCTCTTGAGGCCATGAAAGGTAATTGCACATCCGAGAGCCAGCATCCCTCTGCTGATCCCATGGTAGTGTTGGAGGACTTCAGGCCCAGCCTTAGCCCTATACAGCACCCTGGGCTCCCTCTGCCCAGCCCAAGACCATAACCTGCTCTCTACTTCCCAGGACCCCGAGAGGAGATTCTCTACTTGCCCTGTATTTACCGAAACACAGGCATCGAGGCCCCAGATTATTTGGCCACTGTGGATGTTGACCCGAAGTCTCCCCATTATAGCCAGGTGAGGTGAGGTATGGTCACTGGCACCCCTGAGACTCCCACCACAGCCCTGGTTCCCTAACTCCACCCTTCTTTGTCCTCCTCCTATGGCAAGGGAAGCTCTTCACTGCAGGGGGTGCTGAGCTGAAACCCTGCCTAAGCTGAGATGCCAAGCCAAAAATGAATATAGATGCATGGCCCGGAAAGCAGCACTTCCTGCCCCTCTCCACCCTAGGTCATCCATAGGCTGCCCATGCCCTACCTGAAGGATGAGCTGCATCACACGGGATGGAACACTTGCAGCAGCTGCTTTGGGGACAGCACCAAGTCTCGCAACAAGCTCATACTACCCAGCCTCATGTCCTCCCGCCTCTATGTGGTGGACATAGGCTCTGACCCTCGAGCCCCGAAGTTGCACAAGGCAAGTCCTCTGTCCTTGTGGCTGGAGAGCCTCACACCTGCTGACCCAACAGCCCCTAGACCAGCTGCCTCCAGCTCTCACACAGGGTCTGGCTCAGCAGCAGGGAGGGACGGCAGACTTCAGAAGTTACTTTGGCCTGCTGGGCTGGCATCATCCAGAAGCATGGGCTGGGTGTCAGAAGACTTGCCTTCTTCTTGAGGAGCAGGAGAGCCATCTTTCCCTATCCAGCTAGTTCATGGCTTTCCCCCAGGCAGGAGCTCCAGGCCTTCCTCTCAGCACTCCATTGGACATGCTCCCTCTGCACCAGATGCTCACATCTGGCTGCTGAGGGTGCAGAGCCAACACCGGCATGGGAGGGGCCCAGGAGCTGGGAATGCCTTCATGAGAGACAGGGGAAGGCTGATGCTGTCTGACTGAGGACTTATAGGTGGCTTCTCTGCTGCTCTCTGAGTTACCAGGTTGAATCTGTGTCTTCTCTCAGAGAGGCAAAAAAGAAGACAGGTCCACAGATAAATCAAAAGAATGGGAGGAGGGAGTCCACAGCGAGACCCCCCTGGCTCTGTAAAGTCTGACCCCATTCCTCACCTTCTCCAGGTCATTGAACCCAGTGAATTCCACACCAAGTGCAACCTGGGCAATCTGCACACCAGCCACTGCCTGGCCAGTGGAGAAGTGATGATCAGCGCCTTGGGTGATCCCCAGGGTAATGGCAAAGGTACCTGATGGCACTGAGGACCCCCAAAGCCTCAGCAGATAAGACGTGCAGGGAACATTTGTCTCTGTGGGAAGCAGGTCCAAAGCCTGGGGAGCAACAGAGAGAGGAACCAGGGAGAACTGGCTGGCTGAGTCCTACCCAATATCTAAAATGTCAGCAAGTGACATCAGTTGTTTCAACTATTCCTACAGTAACAAAGCTCAGCTGGGCCTGGCGGTGCAGCCTATAATTGCAGATACTCTAGGCTGTGGCAAAAAGATAACAAGTTCAAGGCCTGCTTGGAAAACTTAGCAAGACCTTGTCTGAAAATAAAAATAAAATGCTCTAGAGATATACCCTAGTGATAGAGTACTTGCCTACCATTAGTGAAGTCCCAGGTTCAAACCTAGTACAAGAACAAATACACACACTTGCACTCACAACACACAGACACACAAGATGACCTGTAACTGCTGAGTTTCCTGGAAGGCATAGTCAGCGGTTGGCTATAAAGATACAAATATACAAGTGAACCTAGGAAGTACACAATGTAGTATCAGCACCCTTGACTTGGCTGTGTGTGTGTGTGTGTGTGTGTGTGTGTGTTTATGTTTTTAAGAAAAATTTAGCTGAGCACAGTGATGGACACCTTGAATCACAGCACTTGGGAGGCAGAGGTCTACATAATGAGTTCTAGGACAGCCAGAGCTTATGTAGAGACCCTGTCTCAAGAGAGAGAGGAGGGAAAGGGGAAATGGGAGAGAGGTGTAAAGAAGGCAGGAGGGAGAGATGGAAAGAGGGAGGGAGGGAGGAGAGAGAGAAAGGGAGACAGAAAAAGTACTGAGTATACAGGCAGTGGTAGTGCATGCCTTTAATCCCAACACTTGGGAGGCAGAGGCAGGCGGATCTCAGTGAGTTCAAGGCCAGCCAGGTCTATCAATGGAGTTCCAGGATAGCCAGGACTGTTACACAGAGAAACTCTGTCTCAAAAAACAAACAAAAAGTATTGAGTACACAAAGAACAGCTGGCTTATAGGACTGAAGCTCTACCTGTAGCTGCCCAACAAAGCGTGGACTCTGGGGAGAATTCCATGGTGGTTGTGGCAGCCTGGGCAAATGATGTTTATGGGGCTGAGTCCCAGAGCTCTCTGTTTAGGGGGAGCACATTTTCCCCAGAGCTCTAACACAAAGGTAAAGTTGCTAGGAGGGAGAGCGCAGAGTGAGGCCCCTACCTCACCCCTGCTATCCCTGAAATGGGGGTTTGGGCATCTGAGCCTAAGGATCCGGCCAGCTGGGTGGGAAAGACAGTAATAGCTCATGGCCTCTACCTGAGCCTCTTCCTTCCTTTCATCCCCCTTTCTCAGGAGGTTTTGTGCTTCTGGATGGGGAGACCTTCGAGGTGAAAGGAACATGGGAGAAGCCCGGGGGTGCTGCTCCTATGGGCTATGACTTCTGGTACCAACCACGACACAATGTCATGATCAGCACTGAGTGGGCAGCTCCCAATGTCTTGAGAGATGGCTTCAACCCTGCTCACGTGGAGGCCGGTGAGGATCACCTCTGGGCTGGCAGGTGTCTGGGTCCACATCCCTCGCTTTCAGCCCTCTAACCCACACCAGATCTGCAGGTTAAGACATGCCAGTTGCTCAGAGTGCTCAGACCTGCTCAAGAGTCCTCTGTGCTCATTCCTAGCTCTCCATCCTAGCCACTGCCCTGCCTCTGCCCATGCCCTCCCACCCTGACCTGAGCCCAGCCTCTGGTGCCTATCCCCTCCCATCTCAGGGTTGTATGGGAGCCACTTACATGTGTGGGACTGGCAGAGTCATGAGATTATCCAGACCCTACAAATGAAGGATGGGCTCATCCCCCTGGAGGTCCGCTTCCTGCACGACCCAGCTGCCACCCAGGGCTTTGTAGGCTGTGCCCTCAGTTCCAGCATCCAGCGCTTCTACAAGAATGAGGTAACTCTGAGATTCCCCCCACACACAGACACTGCTCCTACAAGGGTCTCATGAGGACATCCTCCCAGGCTTCAGTGTCCACACTTGTTGGTCTCACCAGCCTAAGGCTTCCCCAGGAAAAAATGTTGCTCTACACAGCCAACCTCTTTCCTCGATATGCTAGGCAAATTTCCACCTTGCCCAAGTTTGTTTTCTGTTGCTGTAACTGAGCAACTGAGCCTCACTAGTAGAACAGTTACAAGGAATAGAGGTTCGGTTGGCTCATAGGTCTGCCATTAGGCCATTTAGGTGTAGGAGTGGTGTCTGGTGAAGGCTTTCTTGTGGTTGGGAACTCTGCCTCCAGAGACATCACAGGGTGAGCCATGAATGGACGCATCTTCAAGATAAAGATGAATACTCTAGGTGAGTCCATCTTCTGTGAGCTCTGATGTAATCACTTCAAGGTCCCACCACCCCTGGTGGTGACATAAGCATTTAATCCCAGAACTTGGGAGGCAGAGGCAGGCCATCTCTATGAAGTGGAGGTCAGCCTGGACTGTGTAGCAAGTTCCATGCCAGTCAAGGCCACATAGTGAAACCCTGTCTCATGAAACAAACAGTGGCTGGAGGGATGGCTCAGCAGTTAAGAGCACTTGCCATTCTTCCAGAGGACCTGGGTTAAATTCCCAGCATCCACATGGAGGTTCTCAACTGCCTGTAACTCCAGTTCCAGGGGATATGAGTTCTCGTTTGGCCTCTGAAGGCACCAGGAATGCATGTGGTGCACAGACATACATGTAGGCAAAACACTCTTGCATATAAAACAAAATAAAAGTAAACTAAATTAAAAATAAACAATAAGGGGGCTGGAGAGATGGCTCAGCGGTTAAGAGCACTGGCTGCTCTTCCAGAGGACCTGAGTTCGATTCCCAGCAACCACATGATGGCTCACAACCATCTGAAATGAAATCTGGTGCTCTCTTCTGATCTGCAGGGTTACATGCAGACAGAACACTGTATACATAATAAATAAATAAATCTTAAAAATAAATAAGTAAATGAATGAACAATAAAGCAAGTGGTCCCGCCTAACTAGTCAGAATGGCTCACACTGTAACCCCAGCATTTGGGAGGTGGCAGCAGGTTCAAGGCCAGCCTCTTCTACATAGTGAGACCTCTGTCTCAGAAACCCAATTTAGGCCCCACCTCTTAATTCCTCACAACGGTAATGAAATTTCAAGAATGACTTTTGGTAGGGATGCTTGAAACCCTAATCAGCCATATCGATATATTCACTCAGAGCCTAAAGTGGTTCTGTGGTACACGCCTGTGATCCCAGCACTGGGAAAGTGGAGGCCTGGGGGACAGCAAATGAACTCCAGGTCAGGTTGGACTATTTGGGACTGTCTCAAAAAATCAAAAGAAAACACCTACTCAGTGAGCACCTGTGTCAGCCACTCTGACAAGTATTGGCGTGGCAGTGCCACAGCAAAGCAGTCATGCTCCCTTGCCTTAGGGCTTGCAGGAAAGGACACCCTAGACACAAGGCCTAGGGTCTGCTCCTCCCTGCCCCTGGTTCTCAGCACACTTTCTGCCTCCCCTCCCCATGCAGGGAGGCACCTGGTCAGTGGAGAAGGTGATTCAGGTGCCCCCCAAGAAAGTGAAGGGCTGGATGCTGCCTGAAATGCCAGGTGAGTGTCGGGAGACAGTGGGAGTCAGCAGGTGGGTTCCTGGCCTGGAAAGAAAGACTGCTTAAAGCCCTCAACCTACTCCTTAGGCTTGATCACTGACATCCTGCTGTCCCTGGATGACCGCTTCCTCTACTTCAGCAACTGGCTGCATGGGGACATTCGGCAGTATGACATCTCTAACCCACAGAAGCCCCGCCTTGTTGGGCAGGTAGAGGCATTAGAGAAGGAGAGTCTGGGCAGGGCAGAGATGCTGGAAAGCTTCTGGAGGGGGTGATTAGGGAGGAGCAGGAAAAGCACAAATGTGAGCCTGGTACTGGCTCAGGACTGGAGAGTCAGGACTGAACACAGGGAATGAGACAGAAACGAAAGGGATGCTAGCCGGGTATGAAGGAACACTGAGAGTCAGGGGGTGGATGTGAGTTCAAGGCCAGCCTGTCTACATAGTGAGTTTCAGGCCAGCCAGAGTTCCATGTTGAGATGCTATCACACACACACACACACACACACACACACACACACACACACACACACACACAGATTCTAGTGAAGGAAAACAGGACTTCTATAATGTCCACACCTGTATGAGTTACTCTGGTGACACAATATCCCACAAAAACATAGGAGGGAAAGAAAGGTTTATCCCAGCTCAGGTTTGAGAAGGGGTGGAGTCCATCACAGTCACAAGGTGTGGTGACAGGAGTGCAGTGTGGGGCAGCTGGTCACAAGACACGTGCAGTCACAGGAGGCAGAGAGTTGAATGCCGATACCCAGCTTGTCTTCCCTTTTATTCAGTCTGGAAACCCAAGCCATGGGATGTTGCCACTCATGTTCAGGGTGGATCCTCCCTCCTAATTAAAGCTCTTTGAAATGTCCCACAGACATGCAGGGGGTGTGTCTCCTCCCTGATTCTAAAACCCAGTGAGGTTGATAACAAAATTGTCACCATATCTCTCACTGTTGTACCCTTTTGTCCTCTGCACCCCTGAACCCAGATCTTCCTTGGGGGCAGCATTGTTAAAGGAGGCCCTGTGCAGGTGCTGGAGGACCAAGAGTTAAAGTGTCAGCCGGAGCCCCTAGTGGTCAAGGTGAGAACATCTCACTCGCCCCTCAGATCCATGCTCAATGAGTATTGGGGGGATGCTCTTGGGATCCAGGTGGTGTGCCAGTCACTTGGAGTCTGACCCCTTGTTTCCCCAGGGAAAACAAGTCCCTGGAGGCCCTCAGATGATCCAGCTCAGCTTAGATGGGAAGCGTCTGTATGTCACCTCGTCACTGTACAGTGCCTGGGACAAGCAGTTTTACCCTGATCTCATCAGGTGAGCAGCAGAGCCCAACATCACCTCTCCAACAGTCCTCTCCAGAAGGATTGTTCGGCCCCTGGTCACTCCTCAGGAACTCCACCTGAACCCCATCATACAGATGACTCATTTGGACCCTGTCCCATCCCCAGGAACCCATTTATACTCACCAAATCTTGGGATGTAGGGGCTGATCACATATGACCTCTCACCCTTTTCTTCTCTTCCAGGGAAGGCTCCACGATGCTGCAAATTGATGTAGACACTGTAAATGGAGGGCTCAAGTTGAACCCCAACTTTCTGGTGGACTTTGGGATGGAGCCCCTTGGTCCAGCACTGGCTCATGAGCTTCGATACCCAGGGGGTGACTGCAGTTCTGACATCTGGATCTGAAGGCTAGCCCCAAACCCCCTCCTCTGTGTTCTGAGCCCTCCCTTTGAAGAGCCTGGCTTCACTCTACTCTCTTGGCCCCAACTCTCCAAAGCCATGCTGAGACTAGAGAGATCTATTGAATAGCATCTCACTACTGTTGCTTGTTGTTCATTATCCTATCCTAAATGAGCTCTTGGAAGCACAGAGAAATAAAATGTTGAATGTGTCCTCATGATCACTGTCATGGAGAGGGAGGGGGCTGAGTCCTTGGCCACTGCCACTTTCTTGCATAGAGAAGGCCTGAAGAAGACTCCAGGAAGTTGTAGTGACTACTCTATGCCAGTAATTCCAAAATTAGACCAATGATATCAAACATTATGGCCATCAGAACCTAAAGATTAGGGGGATGATTGCCACAGGAAACCTGAGTCAATGTTTTAGACTTATTTGGGCATATGTATGTGTGGTGTAGTGTGTGTGTGTGTGTGTGTGTGTGTGTGTGTGTGTGTGTGTGTGTGTGTGTGCGCGTGTGTGTATGAATGTGTATGATAGGCTCTTTCTCTTGCTGGGCCTGGAGTTTGCTGTTGCAGGGAGGATAACTAGCTAGCTTACTCCAGGGATTCTATCTCTATTTCCCATGTGCTGGGCTCCATGCCTACCCCATTTTTAGTGGGTTCTGGAGATCAGAACACTGCTTCTCATGTGTGAGAAGCATCTCTCCAGTCAGTCCTATGATCGGTTTTGTATTTCTCCTACCACATGATTTTTTTCATGGAACTAAAAATCTCACACATCTAAACTAAAAATCTCATGCTTTCTTTCCCTTTAACAGCTTTAGACATTTCCCAGGAGGAATCTACCCCAGGAGGAACTCTGACTTCCCCTTTGCCTCTACCACCCACCACTTTCTCTGGAACACATTCTGCAGTGAGAGACCCTTACTGTCCACAGGCTGCCTGAATTCAACCTCATCATGAACTTGTCATTTTGTCCTGGTTTGACAGAATCATTACAGAAAAGTGACAGCTCTGAGGATGAAATATACCCACATGAGTTGTTTTGAATTGAAACTCCTTAATTCCCAACACCTGGTTGAATATCAGCATAAACTAGGTTTTAACAAACAAGTTAATAGTGTCCATTAAGAGTAAAGGGTGTATTGGTAATTGTTCTATTGCTGTCAAGAGACACCATGACTAAGGCATACCTACTGCCATGCTTTCTCACCATGATGGTGACAGACTCCTATCCCTCTGGAACCATAAGCTCCAAATAAATTCTTGTCTCTATAAGTTGCCTTGGCTATGGTGTCTCATCACAGCAACAGAACAGTGACTAATACACACTGTCAAGTCCATTGAGAATCTGGTCCTCAGGGTCACTTGGGCTTCAGAGGAACCTCTGCTGCTTTAACCTTCCCTTTACAAGTTTTTCCATCCATGTGAGGAGAATCCAAAGGCCTTGCTTGACTGTGGCTCCACTTGGACGCACTGAGGTAAACCTTCATCTGCCTTAACTCTCCTCTTGCTTTACTTGGTGAGGTCCCCACGGTCCCCGAACATAAGAGCAGATACTTCTTTACAGTTACAGGACAATTCAGGGGATGCCCCCACAGTCCCTTGGGACTTAGCTGACATTAGGGGAGAAAGAGTAAACTATTGCCCCTTTAAAAAAGAAGTCTCTGGCCATATCCATATAGGCCTACAACTATGGTTACTGAAGACACAGAAGGTCTGGTACTTTTAGCTATTGTGTAATATTATATAAAGCTTGCGTAAAAGCCAAATACTTTTAAATAAAACTTGATTAGAAGTATAGTTTTGTTCTTTGTGCTAGTCCTTACATAAAGAGCAGACCTGGAACTGTGCTGAGTTCTTCTTTCCAAAAGCAGTGTTATTTATAGCAGAATAGAATGAAACACAATCACATAGGGATACACCAAGGAGCATCCTGTCTCTCAGCCATGAAAACCAACTCCAGGGCAGGGTATAAAGGTGCACACCTCTGATCCCAGAAGGCAGAGGCAGATGGATCTCTGTGAGTTTGAGGCCAGCCTAGTCTACAGAGTGAGTTCCAGGACAGCCAGGGCTACACAGAGAAAGAAACCCTGTCTCCAAAACACCAAACAATCAAAAAATTAATCTTGATTAAAAAACCTTAGTAGCTATCTTAGTTTTCTATTGCTGTGAAAACATCATGACTAATATACCTTATAGAAGAAAGAGTTTATTGGGGCTTACAATTTCAGAGGGTGAGTCCATGACCATCATAGTAGGAGCAAGGCAGCAGACAGCCAGGCATGGCTCTGGAGCAGTAACTGAGAGCTTATATCTAATCCACAAGCCCAAGACAGAGAAAGCTAACTGGGAATGGTATGGGCTACTGAAATCTCAAAACCCATGCCGCAGTGACACACCTCCTAATCCTTTCTAAATAGTGGTACCAGCTAGAGACCAAATACTTAAATATATGAGCCTATATGGGGCCATTATCATTCAAACCACCAGCCTTGTGTGGTGTTTCTACACAGAGAAGCTATGACCATGGTCTAGGGCAGTACTGAACTCAACCACACCAAATAGTTCTGTTTCCCTTCCCCCAAACTCTCCCAGTATTCTCTGAGGGAACCTGGTGGCGAGGGAAAGCAGGGAGACTCTTGGGCACAGAGAGAATGAAATACAGGTTTTGGACACCCCCTTTGCACGCTCACTCTCTGTATATTTAGGGCGGGAAAGGGTATATGCATGGGGTGCAGAAGGCATCACATCAGCCAGTAAAGTCGGCTCCCTACTTATCTTGGGAAATTGTTTATATTCTTTATTTTCCTTTGAGCTCAATTTGGCCTAATTATTTCCCATCCTGGCCATAGCTCAATCCCCCATTCTTGAGGATGTTTCTTGCACTACAATACACTCGTTCACTCAATCTCCAGAATGTCCCAACCACCAGGGAATACTTTGTCATTCTTCACAGCATTTTTAAAACCTCTTCTATGCACACAGTTGCACAGTCACCACAGAACTTTCCTTGACCCTTTCCCACACTGCCAAGAAATTCTTCTTCCTGGGATCATTACTGATCCAAAAGAGTGTTGCTCAATTGAGACCTTGGGGGGCCATGGCAATGGGTCATGGGAATAGGTCTCCCTAAAGAGATGAGCTCAAACACCTTCCCAGATGGACTTGAAATCCTAGACAAGCCCCCCCCCTCAAATTGTTGGAATATTCTTGTGTCACATGAAGAAACACAAACAAGGTGAAAGTAACATGGCAAGACAATTTCTTTGTGCGAAAAGTTCCATGGCCCAAGCAAGACTGCAGGACGCTAGGGCAAGAAGCTTGCCTAGTTTTTATTCTGATGCAGGTAGTGACTATGTCTCATCCCATGGGTGGGAACTTGATCTCACAAACTGACATGATGGGCTGAGTAATTATTTGTGTGAAGAAGAAGGCTGTGAGGCTCACAAGATTAGAGAGATACCCGAACAAATCATAACACAAAATGCATGTTTATCTCTAAAAGACCCCACATAGTTTTAAATTGTTAAAAAACATAAATTCACAGAGCTAGAGAGATAGCTCAGAGGTTAAGAGCACTGGCTTTTCTTCTTAGAGGTCCTGAGTTCAATCTCCAGCAACCACATGGTGACTCATAACCATGTATAATAAGATCTGGTGCCCTTTTCTGATCTGCAGGCAGAACACTGTATACATAACAAATAAATAAATAAATAAATATTTAAAAACATAAATTCAGAGCTGGACATGGTTACTCAGGCCTGGAATGCTAGCAGTCAGGAAGCTAAGGCAGGCAATTTGATTTAAAGTCTTCTCAGTTCCAGGTAAAAACAAGTAATACACAGCACATACACATTGGCAAGGAGCAAACATTTTTCACTCCAATAGATAAAAAATCAGACCAAAGTAAGGCCAAAGGCAGCCAGGAAGACACTAACCCCTGAGCCCTCTGTCTGTTATCAAGGACTCAGAGGACTTATGTGGCCTTATTTGAGCTACAACAGACTTAGCCCCATCCCTCACATTCTGTTACCTGTAGCATATATTTTCTCTCTTGGGTGGGTGCAGCTCTGGGCTTGCATCTTTTCTTGGTAGAAGATGCATAATCCTTGCATCTCTAACATCCCGGGGCTTTGTCTTAGTGTTACTATTGCTGTGATGAAACACCATGACCATAGCAGCTTGGGGAGGGGTTAATTTTACCCATAGTTCCATTGGACAGCTCATCATCTACAGCAGTGAGGGCAGGAACCTGGGGCAGGAAGAGGACTGCTTACTGGCTGGCTCCTTTTCATTATAGATCCGCCAAAGAGTGGCTATTTACAACCAAGCAACACAGTCAATACTAGGCTAATCTTGAAATCTCTGCCAATGCTGTTAATCCAAAACTCTTCCATTTAGCCTCAGGCAAATTTTTTAGGACATGGCCAAAAAGCACCATATCCTTGACCAAAATATCACAAGAACAATCTCTAGGCCACTTACTAATATTCTTCTCTTTTGAAACCTCTTGAGCCAGGTCATTATAATTTGCATTACTTTCAGCACGACTGTCTTCCATGTTCCTACTAACAGGGCCCCATGGTGGTAGTTTGAAAGAAAATGGTCCCAAAAGGGAGTGACACTACTGGGAGGTGTGACCTTGGAGAGCAGGTGTGGTCTTGCTGGAGAAGTGTGTCACTGTAGTGGCAGTCTTTGAGGTCTCTTTTGCTCAAGCTTTTCTCAGTTTGATACTGAGACCATTTTCTGTTGCCTGCAAGATGTAGATGGTACCATGTATGCCTGCGTGCTGCCGTGCTCCCTCCCATGATGATAATGTACTAAACCTCTGAAAATATAAGCCACCCCAATTAAATGTTTTTCTTTTGTAGGAGTTGCCCTAGTCATGGTGTCTCTTCACAGGCATAAAACCCCTAAGACAGAAGTTGGTACCAAGGATTGAGGTACTGCTGTGATAGGCTGGACTGTGTTTTTCTTGGGACAAATATGGACTGTGGGAGTTCGGGTTAGAAAAACAGTAGAATGCTTTGAGCACTGCTTAATACGCCATACTAGTAAGAGCATGGAAGACAGTGATTCAAAGAGCTACTTGAACTGTCAGAGGTTCACTCAAAAGGTTTCAGAATAGAAGAATTTTAGGATGCTACCTAGAGATCTTTCTTGTGATATTCTGCTAAGAATGTGGCTGCTTTTTGCCCTTGTCTGAAGA